CTGGGGTTAAGTCCATTCTGGACATCGAGAAGACTCTAGAGTACTTGGTGAGTGATCATAGTTTCAATTTTTCAGTTTGCGGGGAAAGGTGACGCCATTTTTGCTTATTGCTAAGAGATAGGGGAAACATGGCTTTCTGATGTAAGTAACGATCCTTGATTGCAAAGTTGAGAAAGCTAAATGCAGACTGGCATCTGGACCTTGTTTTTTCAAAATATTTTACAGGCTTAGGACGTAAAACTCCATTAATTCCATTTCAGACTTGCAAAGTTTTGCACCAAAGATGTTACCATGGAAACTCGATATCACTTTTTTACCTCCAATTCAGGAAACTTCTCTTTATTTGTTACCATGGAAACTCAATATCACTTTATGACCTCTATTTTAGGAAACTCAGGGTGTTTGTGTGGCCACGTTTGGTCAGGATAAAGATTTCCCAGCATTCTTTGTTCCGTCCAGTGGTCTGAAAGCTCCGTATAATATCCGTGATGAGATAGAGGCTGCAGAAATGATCTACAGTAAGTACTGTTTTTTTTTCTAAGAAATTCAGTTTGATCGAATAGAGCATCATATTTTGTTTCATTGCATTCTGTGGGTTACTTCACTGATTCATGATCTGGAAACATTTATAAGAGCATAACTTTCTCAATCAGAAGTAAAATTCATTGAAAGCTTTCTAAAAATCTTGATTTTTATCTTGAGTTTTTGTGAGAAGATACACTGTCATCATTTCCATTGAATTGCAGACAAACCAGATGTCAGATTATTGTTTTAAAAAGTGATACAGCTGGGAAATAAATGTTAAAACAGCTTTATACTAAGAACACAATGCATGATACTCTTGATTTTATTTTAGCAATGTTTTAATTCACATACAAAATACATTTAAAACTGATTACCGGTAATTTCAGCCATTTTGTTTTGTTGCAGACGGTCAAAATAAAATGAAGTTAGACAGTGGAATATTAATCGGAGTTCCCTTACCAGACTCTTACAATGAATATGGTCAGCAGATAGAAACAGCTATTGATACTGCGCTTCACGAAGTTAGGTGAGTATTTTCGGAGTTGAAATACTTACGAGCTCAATTGAAGCTATTGATAAGAGTTTCTGATAGTGAACTCACTGAACAGGAGCGAGAGATCAATTAAAGGGACAGGTACGCCATTTTTTTAGACCAATTATACTTTAGTCTCAGAAACGGGAATTTTTTAGCTAAGCCAATCAGTAATAGTGTTCACAGCTCACTGTCGAAATTTGAGTCTTCAAATCCATGTGTGTCCAGAATTATCCACGTTTGAAAGTTAAAATGACGACTCGTCTTTTCTTGAGACACTGTGATATATAGAAAAGATATCTATAGAAATAGTGAGTAAAATTCCTAGTTTGAGATATTTTTAAAGGAATTATGTGATTTTCGTACATTTCTAGTACTTCTGAAGACTAATTACATATATTCAAGACTCAAATCAACGGCCAAAATGGCGCACCTGTCCAATTCGCGGCTTTTGTCACATCCAGTTGACTAAATCTCACTTCATGCCATGGATACATGTTTCAGGTACACGATCAT